GGGAGATGGACCATGCTGGGGCCTCGATTTCCCGCATGGTGAGGGTCTCACCTGAGTGCCCTCTGCCCAGTGAGGTGTTTTGCCAGAACGGGAAGGTGCTGCAGGAGGGGGAGCTGTTGACCATGCCAAAGCTGGCAGACACCTACGAGACGCTGGCCCGCGAGGGCGCACAGGCTTTCTATAATGGGAGCCTCACCGCCCAGATCGTCCGGGACGTCCAGGCTGCTGGTGAGGGGTCACCCTGGCTGAGGGTGGGGGTCCACGAGGGAGGGAACCTGGGCAGAGGGTGGGAGGCTGAGCTGGGCAGGGCTCTTGGGGACCCTGTTGTTGGTCCGCAAGGGGTTCAGGGCAGCCTGTAACCGTAGCCAAAAACAGAGACCAGGGTGATTGCAGAAATCATCCTGCCACGTCAGCGGTTCTCAACCTGTGGGTCGCGGCCCCTTTGGGGGTCGAACGGCCCTTTCACAGGGGTCGCCTGATTCATAAGAGTAGCAAAATGACGGTGATGAGGTAGCAACGAAAAAAATTTTATGGTGGGGGGTCACCGCCACATGAACTATGTACTAAAGGGTCGCGGCATGAGGAAGGCTGAGCGCCACTGTGCTAGGTTGATTCCTGCAGCCAGGTTCCCCAGCTCCCTCCTGACCCCCTGAGTTCAAAGACCAGAAGCTGTGTTTCACAGCAGGTGGTCACTGTCCCAGGATGCCCCTGATGGCCCAAGAAGGTGTTAGGTTTCTGGGCTGGTCTACCTCGGTTCCTGCATTGCAATGCTCAGAGAATTCCCGCCGCAGAAGCACTTTTGTAAACCAAGCGACTGTTCTGAGGGAAAGGGAAGTGGCAGGTATGACAGTAGGCTCAGACATCTCAGGAAGCGTGCAAGGCATCCAGGAAGACCACCCCCTTTGTCCCTAATCTGTCAAAGGCAGGTCTTGCAGTGGGCATTGAGAAATCATCTATGCCTCTATTTCCCTTCCCCTGGGGCCCTGAAACCAGCCCCCCGCCACTCCCCACCCTGAAGCCTCACTTGCTCTTGTAGACCCTGGACAGCCCTGTCTATCGGGACGTCCCTGCTGCTGAAGTTTAAAAGGAATTTACTGCAGGGGGTGGCTGTTACATTTCGGGTTTTTCACAAACTAAATCTTAAATGTACATTCTATTTCTAGTATTGATTTTTACCCCCCACCCCCTGTCGGCTGGGCAAGAGTCTGGGGGAGGGGTGGCCTGTCCATCAGGGAGGACTAGCACCCTGGCTGAGGCTGCAGAGTGGGGTGTCGTTCCTCAGGGACAGATGGGGAGGAGGCCGGGCCTGTCAGTGTCTGTGGGGTGGGGTGTCTCTGGGAGCAGCCAGAGCATTAAAGGAGTAGAGATTTGCTTCAAGGGAGTGACTCTTGCAATGGCCAAAGGTCAGGGGGCAAATGGGAGACCCAGGTCTGGTGATGACAAGAATGCAGTGGGGGAGGAAGAGAGAGAGGAGGGGAGGGCTGGGGGAGGAGGAGGAGGAGGATTAAAGGGCAGAGAGGAAATGGGGGAGGGGAGGAAGGGCTAGGGGAGAAGGGAGAGTGAGAGACCCCTGCCACACATTGATTGGGGGTGGGGGGCCGGGTTGCACGGAGGCAGACCACACCCCCCAGGAAAAAGACCCCTTCTTCCTTGGACCGGCTGGTGGATGGGTCTGTCCCCTCCTGGCAGGTTTTGTGGGCTGACAGAACTGTCCAGTGTCTGTCCACACCCTAAGAGCCTGGGTCAACCTGGGTAGGACTGGTGGGAGAGATTACGAAGGAGAGACAAGAGGTTGAGTCTAGGGTGGGGCCACCTTGCCAGAGCTGCTGTTTACTCAGCCCCGCACAGGCCAGGGCGGTTTGCTCAGAGGTCACCCAGCCCTGGAAGGACTGACGGCCGTGGATCATCTGCCTTAGAAGCAGGGGCAGGGCAGGGTGAGGAGGGAGAGGCAGGTAGCCACTTGGCAGGGAAGGCGCCCCCACTCTGGGCACCTGGTCTGGCTTGGTCCTGACTGGGAGGGCAGGCTCAACTGTGGGGGATAGGAGTAACTGGGGAGGCGGCAGGGGGAGTAGAGAGTATCCTAGCTGGGTGGGTGTGGGGCCCCCATAGTGAGCCCCCTTACCTCCGCTGGGCTCAGCTATGCCCACTTCACAGGGGGCATCCTGACGGCAGAGGACCTGCACAGATACCGAGCCGAGCTGATTGAGCACCCTCTGAATGTCAGCCTCGGGGACTGGGTGCTCTACATGCCCAATGCCCCCCTCAGCGGGCCTGTGCTGGCCCTCATCCTCCACATCCTGCAGGGTGAGATACTGCTGCCCACCCCCCACCTGCCCCAGGGGCACATATGCAGGGGGCCCAGAAAGCCAGGCTGGGTGGGATCAGGGAGCAGAGGTGGGGCACCTCTCCTACCAGGCTGCCAGAAGGAGCCCTTACCCAGTCTGGCCCTCACCCCACCCACAGCAGCCCAAGGTGGGTGGAGGCACTGGGGCACCCAGGGCAGCTCCCTCTCTGCCCCCAGGGCCTGTAACGGGGGACTGGCTTTGCCCGACCAGGGTACAACTTCTCCCGGGCCAGTGTGGAGACCCCTGAGGGGAGGGGCTTGACGTACCACCGCATCGTGGAGGCCTTCCGATTTGCCTATGCCAAGAGGACCCTGCTTGGGGACCCCAAGTTCGTCAATGTCACTGAGGTGAGGGGCACCCCAGCCTCATTGGTGGTGGGCCTGCTCTGGGCCAGGATGGGACAGAGACATAGCACGTGGCCTGCTCTGGCCTTCCACTGGGGGTGGCCCACTGCCCTGAAGTCACGTGCCTGTGCCCCTCTAGAGACCCCCACTGCTCAGCTCTGTCGTTCCTGCCCCTCACCCCACTATTGCAGGCTCTACGGTTGGGCTCTATGTTGCCCCATCCAGTCTTACCACACATCCCCTCCCTGTCTCCAAACTGTCCCATATTCCCAAACGAGAACCCCCTACTCCTCTCATTGGGAGTCACCAAACCAAACCGCCTGCCCAGAGGCAGCTCTTCCCCTTACCAAGCCAGTTGGTACCTCCCATCAATTGGCTTGGGAAGGTGGCCGCTGGAGGTGGGGGCCAGAGAGGGCAGCAGGCGGTGGTCCCTCCCAGAGTGCCCTTCACACCCAACCCAAACCCACTGGCCATTCCAACGCACGAGACAGAGGACAGGGCCGAGCTGCTCCCTGGGGCTTCGGAGGCTGTGAATCCATGCTGCTTTCCAAGGCAGGCCCGGGACTGGGCATCATCTTTGTGCGCGCCACAATCCGAAGGCATTGCTTCTTCTTTGGTCTTCCTTATTCAACGTCCAAATGTCTTTCTTTCTTTTTTTTTTTTCCAAGTCCAAGTTTCACAAGCATATGAGAGAATTGAACATTGATAGGCAGGTGGCCCATGGCTTGGGTCAGGCACTCTTCCTCAGGGTTCAGAGTAGCACCCGTGCTTGTCAGCGCTCTGAAGAGGTCTTGTGCAGCAGACTCACCCACCACCGCAACGTGCCATCTGGTGTCTTGACTGCGGCTTCCACGAGCGCTCGTGGTGGATCCAAGCAAGATGAAACCCTTGACAACGCCGTTCTTTTCTCTGTGTATCATGATGTCATCCACGTGAGGATTTCCGCGGTGCTCGCACTGGGCTGTGCCCCAAGCAGAAGGCTGCAATCCTTGATCTTCATCAGCGAGGCTTTAAGTCCTCCTCGCTTTCAGCAAGCGCGGTTGGGTCATCCGCACGTCAGGAAGCCTTCCCCTAACCCTGATGCCACATTCTTCTTCATACACCCCCAGCTTCTCTGATAGTTGCGCAGCGTGCAGATCAAATCCGTATGATGAGAGGGTACAAGCCTGGTTTTCAACCATGCTTGTTCTGTTCCAACCACTGCCTCACAGTCCAGGTAAAGGCTCTCCCCGGGCCCAGTCAACGGATGCGGGATTCTCATTCTTCACAAGGCTCTCCTTAGTTTGTTAGGGTCCACGCGGGCATTCGCACTGTCAGGGAAACACAAGTAAACATCTTTCTGCTCTCGGCAAAGACGACGGCGGCAATGATATCCCTTGTTCCACGTCCTCTTCTGAATCCGTCCTGAACCTCTGGCAGTTCCCGGTCAACGTACCGTAACTGTTATGGAATGATCTTGGCAGTTCCCTGTCCACGTACCGTAACTGTTATGGAATGATCTTGGCAGTTCCCTGTCCACGTAC